AGCAGCAAATATTGCCTAGAAATCTCTAAAAGTTGGGAAAGGCTAGCCTGTTCCCATATCCTCTATTTTCTCTTTTAAGATCGTCGAGCGCGCGTATGAAAATAGAAATCGCGGGGGTTTATTGACTGCAAGCGAATATTGGGAATTTTTCTTGGTATTAAGGGGAACTCAAACTATTCACTTTCCTCCGAGGAAGTTTGTAGCGCCTGACTTGCTATGAAGTTCTCAACGGCTGTTTCGCTGCGCAAGGTTAACGAACCCAGCAATCGAATGTAGCGGTGCCAAGATGTATCATAACACTTACGCTCTGAAAACCTAATTCCATCAATATTAACCCGGCAAAAAGAACGACATTTGGAACTGTTTTGCTTTCCAAGAAAGTGAAAAGGACTAACATGCTCCAATACAAACATTAGAAAAAAAAACGGAAATGATTTATCTCTGTAACATAATATGTATGCTACACTACCAAGACCTTACCAGGAAATCTATCTCTAAGAGTACAGTGAAGTACAATAAAGCTTTAGGACTCTCCGCATTTTACGATCAGAAATCAAAGCCTCGTACGCTGATAACGATACCAAGAAAGGAATACGCAGTTTACTAACATGCATGAAATAGACGTAGGGTTTTTTTTTTTTTGTAAAATTTCAATATCTACCCAGCGTTACATGTCTGTATCAACTGGGAATATTTATAAGCTTTTCTATTAAGGGAATCCATTTCGTAAAGGCGAAACGATTTGATTGTATGAGCTCTTCAAAGAGTTGCTTCGAACTTTTGAAATCACACGACAAACGATCCGTACTAATCGAGGTCGAGTTTTATGATTCTGTTATACACAATCGCAATTCAGGAAACTTACTGCGAAAATTAAAATCTCAAGTAAGATATATGAAATAGAAAAAGGTAAGCTAAGCCAAGCTACTTACCTCGAAGTCAGCCGCCCTTTCGTGCCTCTATCAGATGTGGAAAAATCTGGGACTTTCCCTGCATTCCAAGAAACAAAAGCTGTAACAAATTCAGAACTGGATGCCGGATAGTTAGAACCGATTTCCAAACTGCATGTCTAATATAAATACCTTAACGTGTACATTTTTGGTGTCGAGTTAAGGAGCCGATAACGAATAGTCCAAAACGAGTCATTCCACTAGCATATGCAGCATATATCTGCTGCCTTGTACCCAGACGTCTCTCTCCCGATGAAAATTTGCGCGCAAAGGAAGGCGGGGAGGAGAAAACGGGCTTCCCCTGCAGTCTGTATCCTTCCCATGGTCCCTTGCAGTTCATCACCAGTCGCTCGCCTCTACCGTGCGAAAAACGAAGGGCCTGAGGAGGAGGCTGCTATATCTGTATAATATAATCAGCCGACGGTTTGTCCATGTTCCCGGTTTTAAAATTGTCGGTGCCTGGATATAAAACGGTACCAATTAAGATATTTTAAAAAACTGCATGATGCACTGACAGATATGAATGAGAAAATGTCAACATGCAGCTTAGCAGTATTATCATTTTACACGGCTAGTTTTTATTTTTAAATGATGATGCGAAGTTTGTATCTACCTCACTGGAAACGAAATTAGCCAGTTTAAAGAAGGCAAGTTTACATTATTTGTCTCAAAATACTCAAAACAATCTCAGCAAAATCTTTATTTGGAAAAGCGTCATTTCGCCAATATTCCAGGACGCAAAACGAACGAAAATTTAAACTGTTTCGCCTTTTTAGAAAGTAAAAAGAACTACCATCCTCGCATACAAACATTTTATTAAAAAAAAAACTGAAATGAAGTTTGTCTGTGACATATTATGCAAATCTGTCCGGGACTTTCCCTAAAATTATGAGAAACAAAACCGCTTTGTCCATGACGATGTCACTGATAGCTGGGCGTTATTCACCAAATCTCATCGGAGCCGAATTCGCTTGGACTACCGACACTTAGGACATCCCCATAAAATGTTTCGTTTCCCATCGCCCGACCGACCCATTTTTTTGGAAAAGACTCACGGCAGTGGATCCTAGAACAACAATTCGTGCATCAATTTAGTCAATTCGCTTATTATCTCCGACAGCCTAACGGGTTGCATTAACAGGCACAGTTAACAGACAATATGTAACGTCGAACAGATCAAATGGACACACATGGATGGAGTAAAGCCTTCTTTAACATCAAACACGGGAATTACCGACTTGTTTCGTGCTGAATTAGGTAAATTTGACTATTATATATATGGAAAAAGGCTCATTTGAAACAAATTGAAAACTTTCTTTAAACGCCGTTGTGGTTGTTTCAGTCTTCCTTAGACGTTCCAACAGGCGCTTTTGTAGTACGCAAGCATGAATAACACGCAACAAGTGCTCCTTGATCGGTGAACGCGTTCACGCACCTGCTGACCATCTTTGTGAAAGGCAGATCCTTGCAAAGACAGAGTGCGATCTGGGTACGAGTTAAGGTCTCGGTAAAGGAAAACGAGGTGCCCACAGAGAAAAATTCTAGTCGCGCGAGTATTTTCGCTGCAAAGGCAAGTTATATATCAAATTAAAGCTAAAAGACTAAATTACCTTATAAAATATTTTATTTCATCGAATTTCAAAAGGCGCTTAAGTTTTTTGCTCTCGAACTCAGAGGTATCGAGTTTACTGCTGAAGCTCCAGCCCTTTCGCGTTGTTAAATATTCACTTTCTTTTTATTGCATCTGATTGACAGATAAAAGACCTAAAAAAGGGTGTGAGGAAATTTGCATATGTCTCGTATTAGGGGAATTATTACATTTCAAACTAAAAAGTCGAATCTCGAGCGCGATTTACGCAAAGAAACTGACATAAAATGAGTTACAAAGGGAAATCGGAAAATTCCTCACACCCTTTTTGAGTCTATATCATTATCCATCATATCTGAAAGTTTTAAAGCGATAGCTTAAAACCTGTCCCGACTGGAGGTCGGAGAATTTTGATTTTTGCGTCTGAAATAGAGTGAGAGAAAATCAGCTCTAAAGATTTAGCGCGAGGTCCACGCTTGGCTGGTTAGCTCAGAAAAAGCTCATTTTAGAAGGGTTAAAAAGCACTTTCTGATTTTCTTTTTCTGCCAAAATAAAATTTAGGACCCACTCATGCCAAAAATCCAAAAAAAACAAAATCGAGCAATGTACTAAAATTTTCATTTACCGAGACCTTAAAAGTATAGTCATTCAAACTTTAGGGCTGGTTATTTGAACAAAGATTAGACGGCAGGGCCCGCAGAGCAGTTTTTAATTTTCCATATAAGTTAACAAACCTCGTTATAACGAACATATTTTGCCACTCCCTTGACCCTTCGTTATATCGAGGTTCCACTGTAGTTAATTTTATTTATTCATTTTTCAAAAAGGGGGGGGGGGGCTGGATCCTCCAGCCCCTCCCCCTGCGGGGGCCCTGGACGGGTTAAACTGGTCCTTCAATAGGCTAGTCTGAGTATCAGGCTTTTCTAAGGGGCTACGAGACAGGAGATTTTCGCTTTTCTTTTCTCCTTTTTCCTCTAGAAACGCCTGATACTCAGGCTGTCAACAGGCCTTTAACAACTTCCAAAAACCAACCCTCACTTTCAAAACGAGACCAAGTGCGGAAACAGTCCTCATTATAAAAATGATTTTTTTCATGATAATCTTGATAGCTCATTTCACATCTAAGTTTTTTCACTGACTTGAAGCAACCCGTAAATAGACTGAGGACAACCTCGTTCCCAGGGACGGGTAGGAGAGAACCCTTATAACGAGGTTGACCAGAAAGTTGCATACCTTTGCGAGGGCAAAATGTGGTTTCCGCAGGCGCTGGAAACGATCCACGATCTTAAACTTGCAGGGCATTGAGGGGTAGAGTAAGATCACTACACTAACGAGGTTACAATCAACGGTAAGTTAAAGAGACAAACTATTTTCTATTTCACTTTGAACATTTCATTCCGGCTTCGTACCCCGGACACCCAGACCTCTCGGTTTAAACTGGCGTCAGGAGAACAAGAAGGTCGCCTATGATTGTTACGTATATCTCGTTGGTTCCGGCCATCGCCGCGTAAAGGATGAGCAAACAAACTGGCGCCGGTAAGATAACCTTCGTGTCACTTCCTAATTTGAGGGGAAAAACCCTTGACTGAGAACCTCTTTGACGACGACTCTGAATGCCGCGAGGATTGTAAATATGATAACGAATGTAATAATCATTGTAGTATAGTAGTGAAAGTGTTTTTGCAGATGTCGTGCGATGAATATCCCTTCAGACCAAAAAGTTGAAAAAAAAATCGTGCTGTAAAAGGAGGGCGGAAAGTTAACAACTTCGTCAAAAATAATACCCGCCCCGGAGTATTGTTAAATCCATTCCTTACTACAACCGCTCAGTATATTTACTACTTGTCAATACTAAGAAAGTAAGAGCGTATTTACAGCGTACAGACCATATTTGTTACTACTCCAGCTTGAATAAAGCAAACAATATCAGTCGGTTCTAAATTCAGGATATAAACTTTACCACCATAAACTGAATGAGGACTATATACAAGTTGTAAGTTAATTCTGCATATCACAATTCTTGAGTGCACGTTAATACTGCATGTAACACTTCCTTAATCATCCAACTAGCAAAGAAGAGCCACACCACGCATGATCCAATGGGACTGTGGCTGATCAGATGGCAGGCGCATGTCCATCACAATGTTAGTGGAGTGGCCTGTGGTAGAGAGCGTACCTCTCCTCTCGCTTGTTTTGTGAACAGGGGAGACAAAATGAGGCCGGTTAACAGTTGCAAGGTTTGAGCCACATAATAGTCATGCCATCATACAAAGCTTTCGGGTGCGACTCTGCAATCACTGTCTTTTCTCGATCCCATCGACAGCCTTCCGTGAACAAGCCGTTAACATAGATACCGTCCTCGGGTGGAGTTTCGTAATTATTGTCGCCAAGAACCTCGAAGACAAACGTTAGGAGATCAATAGGAATGGTGTATTTTCTGGCGTAATTCTGCTTTGATCCCGTTAAGAAGGCCTGAGTGAAGAAAAACCCATATTACCACTCTTGAAGAAACTTGAGGCGAGCAATCAGATCATTGACGTAACTGCCGAGTGGTTTAAGAGATGGGCAAGACTTCTTCATCCACAGACCAGGGATTTTGCCTTTAAGGATGCCGCCAGTCACCTTCTCTAGTTCAGAGGGCATACCAACCAGGCCCTGGGATCATATAAAAGGTCGGGTAAACCGTCTTAGTGAGTCCCATTCCTAAACACGCAGCGAAAACAACATCCTGTAAGTTGCCTAACCCATAGAAAAAGGAGCAAAATATATACCCGGCAGGGAGGGGTAAGAGGAAACGGTAATATGTCTCGGGTACATTTCCTAGACACAAGTGCAGTGTGCAACATATCGTCCAATATCGCACACAGATGAACGCAACATGATTTGAAATAACGGAGGTTGCCTGACGTACTACTTCCCCCTTAGGGGAAACTGTATTTACTGTTTTCAGTCAGCGACAACTTCGAAAGGGTCCAGTAATACAGTCAACTATCTTTAAACAGACATCACGAGTTAGTCCCTGTCTTATTTGACCCTCTATGCATTGGACACCTAGAGTAAGTCATTTTCAGTCATTTTCTCTGACTCTCTATAAGGCGCGCAGACACTTCCCGTCGCAGTGGCCACAGTCTGCCTTAGAGACTGTAAAGGAATAAAGATTCTACTTCACGTTTAGTCAAAACTTCAAACAAGAACTCTATAAAATAGCTATTAAATTTATCTGACCTTAACAGCTTTCTGTATGTTCATAAGCGAAGATCGCACGACTTCTCGTTAGCCTGTTAATCCTGACCATTTCCTGCACCAATACCGTCTTCATACTCTGCGTATAGGTGGTGGGGTATTTCCACAGTGCCGCTTCCATGTCAAAGCTCTTGTGTAAAATATCCTCAGCCACCCCAAAGAGTATCTCGTCGTCGGATTTTCCATCTTTGGCGGAAGTTCGAGACTCCGTCAAAAGGATGCTGTTGAACAACTGTTGGGTTTCCTGTTGGTTCTTACTGATGTCTGCATTTGGCGTGCATTCCAAATACCTCAGGATGCGCAATGAGCGGAAGGCTGCGTCCGTACTTGATGTACGATGCGTAGTCGCCTTCTTTAGGAGCAAAGTAGCTGCCGCTTGGCGAAAACTTGTAGTCTTTATTGTCTATGATGGCCGGGCAGTAGAACTTATCCTGGATTGTTAACAGGGTTCGTCCATCACGTTACACGGCCTCTGTAGTTGCATTCCTGTAACGCAAAAACATGCAGCACGACACATTAAAACAGTAAGGACGAAACCTATATACCGGCGATTCGCTCTGACCGGACATCTCTAATTAACAATTATTCCACGAGTGCGCGTTGGCTGTAATCATTTCATATCCAAACAAGCGCGAGTGGAATAATTGCTTTACTAAAAACGCCCACAAAATATCAAGAATTCGTCCCGACTTTATTGGTAAAAACAACCGATTATCAGTTTGTTTTTAATTTTGAGCAGACGCATGCGGTTACCATTTTTGGAGAGCATAGTATAATGGCTCATACCGTAAAATTCCGAAAATAAGCCCCGGGGCTTATATTTTTCAAAGGCCCTTTTTGAGGGGCTTATATTCGGAGGGGCTTATCTATGGAGGGATATTTGCGTTTCAAAATCGATTGGGCTAGCCTTATGGTTGGAAGTAAATTTACTGTTTTTGCTTTGCTTTACTTTGTATTTGAGGGCAATTTTTCAAGTACAACCCCCTTGGGGGCTTATATTTGGAGGGGCGATTTAACGGAGGGTTTTTTGCGTTACCGGTTTGGGGGTCCTATAGTTGGAGGGTCTTATTTTCGGAATTTTACGGTATACCATAATGGCTAAGCCAATCTGAGCTCTAGAATTACATTATCCAATGATTCAGGTTTTAATAATTACCTGATAACGATGCCATTCTGAATAGAGAAACTGTCAGTCGGTAGCCCAGCTTGTTCCAGTCCCTTATCTTCACAGGGTCTCCCGAAGTCTCCGGTCACCGAGAAGTCATTCGAACAGGGGATGTTGGTGTCAGGGAAAGCTTTCACCCATTCTGCAGTTTGTTGCTGAAACGAGAAACCAGATTTAATGCTAAATACCCCCTGCTCAGAATATTATTCAGTCCGTAGCTTTAATAAAATGCTTGTAAATTCAGACGCAAAATCTTTTTCAATTCTTCACTGTAATATTACAATGTAGAAGTTTATAAAAAAAACCCAAATCTATTAGAAGAACTATTACGCTCCCTTGACTCCAAGCTGGATATACTTGGAATTACAGAAACTAAGGGCCTGTTTACATGGAGGTGGGGGACCCCAGGTAGGTGAGGTAACCCGCTTAGGTGGGGTAAAAAAATAACCCTCCTTTACATGCAATCTTACAACCCCGCCATCCCGGGGTGCACTTTCTCGAGATTATTGAATGGTCGCTAAGTACGTAAACAAGAAAAATGCTGGCAAACCACGTGTTGTAGCTTTCTATTGTTACCCTTACTGTGCTTTTCACAAACACGCGAACTCTAAAATTAATGGGTCGCCTTCACAATTGCGTTTCTCGCTGCCGTCAATCATAATTACGATCACAAGCAACGAACCTTGAAACACAGAAACACTTAAAACGGATCGAAATCCACCAATCACAAATCACAAACCTTGACCTTTTGAACCCGTTAAAGTAAAGTTTTCTTTCCTAAGAGGTCCGTTAAGATGATTGACGGCAGCGACAAAAGCAATTGTCAGTTGGTTTTTGAACTTCACAATCTGCATGTTTGTGAAATGCGCAGTAATCGTAAGCAATATGTCAAAGTTGGTAATACAGAGTCTACCCTGAAAACCATCACATGTGGTGTACCTCAAGGCTCCACTGCTGTTTCTATTGTATATTAACGATTTGCCCGGGTCTTCGAAGAAATTAACTTTTACGATTTTTGCAGACGATACAAATATGTTTTATTCTTCAAAAGACCCAGAACAATTACAATCAGTTAACAATGAAGAACTTGGAAAGGTCTTAAAATTCTGTGCAGCAAATATACTGTCCATTAACTTCAAGAACACTAATTACATGATAATTACTTCACCTAAGAAGAAAACAAATATCAGAATAACAGCTTGTAGAAATCTTAAATTAGGAGAATTGTTTACCTTGTCTTCAGGGTCGGCTTCTCTTGCCGATCTTGTTATCCAACAGTCATTCCTGTGAGTTGTTTTGCATGTTGGCATTCTATTCCACTTCACCAAGAATCTCAAATATGTGATGCAGTGTTATCAATCACTGAAAAAAAAATTGACAAAAATTAACTACATTTGACGAGACATTTTAAAGAACGGAACTTGTATAAAGGTTTTTTAGACACCTTATCTCATGTCAGGTCAGTTGATCAGGTTAAGAGTCCATAATTTGTATTTTGAATGGAAATTTAACTGCTTTTACATCCTTATTATCAAGGTGCCCATAAAAGCAAGGTGTTCACATGGCCAGAATTGACTTTACTAGGGGGGTTCCATTTCCGGGGTGGAGACACTCCCTCATTTGGTCTAGACAGGGATGTTGCGCTGTACAGGGTATGGTTTTCAGGGTCTTGAGTCTTCCCCACTATTTTGCGTCTTTAACAGAGTGTGTTTTTGAACTGGAAGCCTTTAAAAGAGTACGTTTGAAGGCTGCAGGTTCCATGAAATTGGTATGAAAAAATTACCTAATTCTGTATGCAATACCAAATTAATCAGGGTTACAGTTGAACCTTGATTATCTGGACTTTTCAATTATACACATTTGTTTTGCTGGTCCTGTTTTTCATGAATATTTACCCTTTCAGCCCTATTAAAGAGTGATCAGCATCAAGTTTCTCCTTGTAATATTAATGCCTTGTAAAACAGAGTGGTCACTAGCAAGGCTGCTGCCTAACGGGTGCCCAGTTGCATGAGGTGCCTACGATTTACCCTCGGGGGACCAAAATTTCAAACAGGGAGCCCAAACAGACGCCTAAAACATATGATTCTCAGGCTAACTTCCAGTGAACAAACAACAAAATTCCCTGCTCATTCTGCTCTTTTGAAATGACGAAGGAAAACATCGTTTGATCGTCATTCATAGGCAAAAATATATTACCGCTGATAAAAGGTAAACAAGCAGCTCTCATGTCAATGTCATGTCAGTTCGCTTCTGTGACTTCTGCTACAGAGCAGTTGAAGTTTCTCATCTGAAAATGGTGTCAAATGAATAATTTGATAGTCTGTCAAAAACCTTCGATAATAAAATCATGACTTTTCTTTCAGCGTTAGAAATGTTAGGTCGCTACTGCATGAAGTAAAAACTGAGAAAAAGTTGTGATCCGTGGAAAAGCAAGCTGGCTTTAAATTACACGTGACATCGGTATGCTATTAACTTTTGCAAGTTTGTATAGCATTTTCTATCTTGCTAAGAACACAAACGGTACACTTGGAGGTTTCTTTTATCATTTAATCAGCATTATCTACACCTTCCTTACTTTTTGCTGTACCTTTTGTGAGAACTTTTGAAAGGCTCGCAAAAACATTCCAGCTTTTAAAAATGATTCACAGCGGCTATTCAAGATCATATTTCAATCTCTTCTTAATTTACTCTGTCGCGTGCAATGCCCGTAAATACAAACCTTCACATAAATAAAAACAGTTGACAGTTATAGTTGAAAAGATAGACTTGATACAAAAATACTGAGTCAATTTTCCAAACTTCCAGAAACAAACCTTTTGTTGGTCCTTTTTTATCACCTAAAAACTTAAACTTAACTTCGCTCAAATTGTAGACGCAAGTTCCGTTGGTCTGTGCATTCAATGTATGTGCGAATGATTATTAAGTTTCTTGAGAAATACATTGTTTCCTGAAATCCTTTAGAGTGGTGGGTATAAAAAATGCTGGTTTTTCAAAACTTGAGACTTGGTTTTTGTGTTTCAAAACTCGATTCGTTTGAGGCTCAAGTATTGTTCCAGTTTTGTCTCATCAGGCAACGTTCCTTTTAAGCCTTCCCAACTTATCTAAGAAGATCGAAGGGCTTCTGCTCGCAGGGTATAAATTGATAAAAACAACAACTTCAAAGATAGATCTTTCCAGTGATACCTCATTTTGGATATTTTGAAAAATCCTGTCAAAATTACACTCACTAAAAAAGGTAACATTTTGGGGTAAAATCCACTGCCAGTTTCGCTGTTTACATACTACTCTTTGAAGATTAAGTTGCCCCTTTCCTAAAAAGTTAGCCAGACACAATTTCGTGCTAAACAAAGGCGATAAAGTGGGCAGCAAAACTGCTAATAAACAAGAAAGGCTAAGGGAAAAAAGAGAGCAAGAGAGAAAGATTGAAATAGATTTACAAAAAAGGGTCCAAATTTTTGCTTTTGCACATGCCTGAAAAACCAAAAAGCTGTTTAATTACGTCAGATTAGTCGAAAAACATGCCTTTCTCCTTGCAAAACTCTTTTTTAGCCCTTCTTATGCTAATTAGCTGAAAACTAGTCCAAAGAAGAGGAACTACTCGCTACTCGATGGCCATCACCTAAGGGTTAATAAAGTTACTGATCTTTTTTAATTGGGCTCCTAACTTTTTCTTCTAATTTTCTTGGGCAGCAGCCTTGCACTAGAATTACAGACATGATCACACAAGATGAATTTGCTTGATATTTTATCAACTTCTCCCCTCTACTTCTGTAGGAAATGAATAGGGGCAACAAATGAGAATTTAAATTTTGATGATAGAGTTTAAAGGGTTAATTAAAGATGTGATCTTGAAAAATTAAAAGAATTAAAAGTTCATTAATCCTTCCAAACCAAGCGGCACAAGATGAACAATTATTCAGCTGAATTCTGATATGCTCAATTGTTATGTTGCTAAGGGAATGTCATGCTTGATTTCACATTGGTTCAATCATAAACTCAAATCACTGCTATGTCTTTGCAATGAAAGCAGTCTGTTATTTCGATAAAGGATAAGCAAACCATTATTTCACATTTGGAGAAAAGCGAAAAAGGAACAAATTTAGCTCTCAAGTTTAAAATCAGCAAGCAGCAGATCTCAGATATATGCAAAAACAAAGAGAAGATCCTGAAATTCACCGACAGTGTAGAGACAAGCGTGGGATTGAAAATACTGGTTTTAAAGGCTTCAGCAGCACACCTCTACCATTGTAGGAAAATCAGCTTACCCAAAGGGTAAGATATTATTCTTTAGTAAAATCCAACTAGTGGTCTATCATCAATGCTGCATTCTGATTGGTTGGGCTACTACTAGGCTATATGTTATAGCCCACTTAAGTAGCAAAAAGCGCTGGCTTTTTGGCAGCAAAAAAGGATTAAAGTCTAGCTTTAACTAGCTTAAGTTGTTTTGTCTTGATATTTTTGACCAACTCGTGGAAATGACCGTATTTGAAATTCAGACTAGGGACATACATATCCTCCCCCTGCCCCACCCACCCATACTTGTCCAACACTCTGACAAACTTATGCATGGCTTTGTTTAATTTCTCATTGTATTTTTTGTTCTCTATTCTTATCATAGGCGTACGGGCCGGGGGGGCGAGGGGGGCTGCAGCTCCCCCAAAGTTTGGACAACTCAGATTTTTTGGGCAGCACGAGAAAATTTGGGCAAAGCCAATTTTTAAAGACGTCTCCATGTGTTTAGTATTATTTTGAAGAGATAAATATATTCTATTTTAACCTGAAGTTGGCGTAATAATCCAGTTACATTGACACGAGAGTGTCCGCCTAGCACATGACGAGTTTCTGGTTGTAAGGGAAAGGTATCATATGCTGATCTTTTTTTATTGTTGGGCACTGTACTGCAATGGGCTATTTCCACTCGTGAATTTATTAGAATAAACTTCCGCCTAACTTTCTAGAATCATCTCCGCTCGTAGAACAGTGTATGGCAGATAGCATCAGCAATGGGTCTTAAAGTGAAGAAGTGGCTGACTAATTCTCAGTTTGAATGGCGAGAAGAATCTTGATTTTTTTATAAAGTCTATCGAGCGGTTTAAAAATGATTCAATAATTTGTTAAAGTAGACTGAAATGTTTACAAAACCGCGAACAAGAGCGCCATGATACATACTAATCAAATCCTTCTTTGTAGCAATTGGCCGGAGGTATCTCCAGGATCTATCACCCACGTTTTTGAAAAGATTGAAACTACTATGAGGTGAAATTGCATGTCAAAAGTGCATCGTTTTCTACAGATAACGGCCAAACACCAAGATTTTCCTTTTTTTACCGTATTTCCAACAATAAAAACTTTACCCCAAAATATCTCGATAACGCTCTTACAGATTCCGTTTTAACGTCACGAACATCGAGGCGACTATTGGAGGAAAAAGCTCCTGTGATCGTTTTTAGAAGAACAGTTCCCAGAGAGAAATATTGCTGCAAGTATAATAGGTAATGGCTTCATTTCATTGCTATAACAACTCCGATGTCATTGCAACCCTGATCACAACAAATTTTCATCTTTACCTAATACACCTGTGGTGGCAACTTTTCCAAATGTTTGTTTATGGCGACGTAGTTTATGCTCAAACTTGGCAGGTATTGACCCTGAAAAACTGTATGGAGCCATTTTCATATGCCAGTACGGCCTATCTTGTTGCATCGGCCCTCGTTTCTGTTCGACTGTTTTGTAAAAATTTGGGCAACTTGCAAGAATTTTTTGGGCAAATGGTTTACCGCCCCCCCTGGCAAAAAATAGCCCGTACGCCTATGATTCTTATACTTTTGCACAGAATTTTAATGACAATATAATGCCATGCATAAATTTGTCAGAGCATTGGACAACCCTCCCCCCAATCCAAAAGCAGACCTCTCAAGTCTCACGGTTTGGACAATCTCACGGTCTCACGATGAGGCACAAAAATCTCACGGTAAACAGATTCAAAAGCCGATGGAATACGCTTTTTGAGTATTTTCATTTTTGCCTCGTAAAAGTGATTTTCATGCTTCAGTTAGGTAGGAATCTACAGTTCTCAGGCATATTCATCTCTATTCGTCATATTTAATTGTCTTGTTGACAAGATAAATGCCAAATAAGGTGATCGTTACCAGTTTGTCACATTTAGATACGTTTCGAACACGATGTCAAAATGGTGGGAAATGATGAAAATTCATCAGGCAAAGACAAAGTTCAAAACAGAATGGGAAGGTTCGCATCCTGTTAAACCTATTCTTAGCGATCCATTTTCATGTTTATGTCTTCCTTACACCTGGTTTTAGTTCTTTCCGATGCCGTTGATAAACCTCCAGGTTTCTCCCCAAATCTCCAGGTTTTTTTAACCTTGATCTCCAGGTTCTTTGGTCTTTTGGGGTTGAGAGGTCTGCAAGAGGGCCTCTTTTTAGTGAAGCTCACATTAAGCGAACACCCTATATTATATTACGTGAACAAATGGGTCACTTTGTTTGAAGACTTTCTTCCCATTTTTACTGCAAAACGAACCTGTATTCAGGGAACACCAACTAAGGTCACGTGGGTATCCACAAATTACAGGTTTCACTGTAGATGGAGATGGTAAAATGTCCGGAGAAGGGCTACCTTAAAATTACCTGATAGTGATCAGATTTAAAACATTATCTTAATCCTTTCACTAACATTATCTAAATATTCCATGCTCATGTGACCAACATTTTCTGTTTTAAAGCCTAAAACTTTAAATTAAGCTCGAGCATACCTCACAAGACCGTTGCGGGACCTTCTGCCGAGCCACGTCCGTGAATTTCTATGCCATAAATAAAGCGAAGTGTTGACGAATAAGTTAAAGATCCAATCGAGGTGATATACGAGTACCTGGAGTCTAAAAATCTCACTTTAGGTCCAATTTAACTACACACATGTTCTGCGTGCTCCGTCGCCATGTTTGTTTTTCTTTTAGTGCCCAGTCTCAATTAGCGCGCCAGTTTCGCGCGCGAGCTTTCAGAGCACTCGTTTCTCGTTTCTCGAGTACTCGATCGAAAACGCGATCAAATTTATGAAATGTCAAGGTTAATCGGTGAGAAAAAGAGTAAATTTTATTCCAAGCAATAAGTAATGAAACCAGCCTATTCACGAGCCAGAAAGCAACCTCGTTCCCAGGTTCTCTCTCCTTACTGAGGACTTTTCAAATAATCGAACCTTAGTTACCAACAGTAAGTGAAAAATCCTTCGTGTAAAACTGAAGTGTATATACAAAGGCATCAGTCCAATAAATACGGAATGAAAATTTTATTTCCTGCTAAAAGGTAGAAGTAACTTCTCAACCACATGATTTATTTCAAGTGATGCTATAATAGAGCGGTTTTCACTTGACTGTCGTAAAACCAAAACCAAAGTAAATACACTAGCCAACCAAAGGACGTAGTAAAACCAAAACCAAAACCAAAACCAATCCCAATTCGACAGTCAAGTGAAAACTGCTCTATTGAAAAACTAGGAAATACACAAGCAGTCAGTGAGCAGTTCCGAGTCTGAGTATTCCAACGGGATTTCCATCTATGATCTTCCAGGACGTCTGTGGGACGTGTATGAGAAACTCGTGGAGCGATGTGCCATACAACTAGACCGATTTGTGTGTCCAGTAAAGATCTCAAGTCCTTTTCATAAACCGGGTTCATAATGCTGTAAGAGGACCATCTCAGAATAAAGCCCAACTTCTAAATTCTAGTGAGCACCCACCCATTCATTGCTGTCAGTTTGGAAAAAAAAAAGGATCACCCATAGCAGGTAAGACAGGACAGGGCAGAGGATTGGAAAACGCCCCATTCAAAACAGGAGAATACAGTTTCGCCAATCGCCTGAGTTGTTAAGTCTTATCAGTCACTAATGGGGGTCTTTCAATATACAGCTATTTCGAGAAAGGTTGTCGAAAAATATGTGCCCGCGGCAATCCCGAAAGGTAACATGGGATATGATCAATATACTGTTCCTGACATTGTAGCTGTCGAACCTACTTTTGTTGCTTTCCTTTAGCAATCGCAAACATATATCCATGGCCGTGCCATTCTTTCAAAATTCCTTTGAGGAAAAGCGAACCTAAAACCACCCACGATTCCTTTCGTGATTGTCGCGTGCACTTTTTCTGACAACCTTTCTAGAAATAGCTGTATAAAAATTCAGCACGACAGCGGCGAGTCTTAGAGGACACAAACATGTTTATTCATTTTCTTTGTTTGTGTCCTCTAAGACTCGCCATCATGCTGAATTGTTTTAGAACTTTCCGCTAAACACTGTCACAACTCTAAAACAGTAATCAGTGAAACATTGTAGTGGCGATTGATCTTAGGCAAATAAAAAAAGCTTAAAAACAATACCGTAATTATCGTATTGACGCAAAGCAGGGGCACCCAACGACGGTTTTCTGTAAAATATATGTTCGGAGAAGCAAATATTGCCTAGAATTTCTTTTATTTGAGGACAGCTAAAAATTTCTAGATGACCATTCCATTCATGTACAATTTTAGGAAATAAATTCCCTACGATTTTCTAAAGTAAGTTTAATTTTTCACATTTCACTCCCTAGGTTAGGCTATTTTTCTTAGAAAAAAGGAAACCTAAATTTATTTGCGGATTATAAAATGTGATGGAGAGAGCAATCAGAAAAATTTCACTTTCGTAATACGTTAAATTGCATCTAAAATTTTGGAGACAATAATACAGAAGCCCTTGTAATGTCGAAAAGACTCAAGCCCCCTTAGGATGACCGAATAGAGATAGAATGTATTTCTAGAGATCTATTTAAAAAAACACTCTGGATAGCCTAAAAAGTATTTTCAATGTATTTAGGAGGAAACCGTCGATGGGTGCCCCTGGGAAAGAGCACTTAATTCCAGAGAACACTTTTGTTATTTATTACAATTTAATGGCAAAAGGTTTCACGTAAGTGATAAATACAAAGGCATTGCCATAAGGACGGTCTGTAAAAGAGTCAAAGACCCCATACAACACAGACCACCGTCTAAAAAATATTCATATCATAAAAACTAACATTTCATAAGACAGAAAATTAAAAATGTGAAAATGCATATAGAAATATGTACAAAAAAAATCAATAAAATAATAATAATAAAAACCTCACACATTTCCAGCTTAAAACTCCCTCACTTCTTTCTTAAAACTAGCAATAGTTGTTGCCTGAGGAACAAGCAATGGTAGAGTGTGTCCACATGTCCACGATCCTATTGAAAAAACTAAATTTAAATGTATTAGTTCTAGCCAAATTTTTTTTAAGAGTACATTCATTTTTTCCCCTCAAAGGAAACCGATCAGAATCTAAGAAAAACTGTACATATGTAGATAGATCAATATTTATATAGCCATTCAGGGCTTTATACAGGAATGTCGCGTCAAATGAAAATCGCCTTTGTTCGAAGGACAACAAATTGAGCTTTTTTTCTCCATTGTTCGCAATCATCATGGTCTTCAAAATAAACTTAGTTGCTCTTCGCTGAATTCGCACCAACTTAGAAATATTTCTAGATGTGTGTCAGCTGGTGTGTGGTGACCAAACAACACTGCAATACTCTAGCTGTGATGTGACCAGGGCAAGATACAGAGTTCTCAATGTGGAATCATCTTGAAATCCTTTACAGGTCCCTTAGACCTAGGATCTTGTTGGCCTTATTCGACATTTTATCAATATGGGTGCTCCAAGACAGATTGCAGATTGCATTAGTTTACATTTCCGTTCACGTTAAAGTCTCTGAGGTTTTGTTGACTCCATGCATATAAGATACGGAATGATCAGCTGGACAGTTTATAATCCTGGATGTTTCGCAGTCGTCAGCATATAATGATACACAATTTCCAGGCATTACTACTTCAGGCAAATCACTAATGAAAATTACAAAGAACCAAAGGCCCAATAAGGAGCCCTGAGGTACGCCCGATGGAATAGCACACCATGTGCAATTTATTCCTTCTATGACAACTCTCTGTTCTCATTCAAAGCGCACCGGAGATACCAAAATTACACATTTTTGCAGCAGGATATTATCTGCCACTCTGTCAAAAGCCTTTGCAAAGTTCAGGAAAACAACGTCCACCTGTTTGCCCTCATCCAAGGCCTTTGATCATTGATGGTGTGACAGAACTAACTGAGTAAAATCATATTATAACTTAGAAATCTATTTGGCATTTCATCACGTTTGTCAAGATCAGTACATTTACAAAGTTTATCAAACCAAAGTAATATACTCGTGTTGATGAAAGACATGTAAGTGATTGAGCTTATTTGAAGCAACCGTGAATTGAAGGGCAGGCCTTGACGAGAGTAGCAGAAGTCACGTAGAACGAAAGAAGCCCTGACTAATATAGTAGACGTAGGTTCAGAAGGTCTATACAACTTTGACGTCTCCACTATAAGGACGACTAACTGGTCCTGGCTATCCCTTCTCCTTGTGCTCCACGCTCAGCTCATGCTTCACCTTCCTCCGTAACGTATCAAAATGGCGCCTGCTTTAAAAAGTACAATTATCACCTGTTCACTTTGCGGTCTCAGACAAGACTACTTCATTCAGATCCTAGGTATATACATTTATGTACATCTGTGACAGTAGTTGTCAACTTCAACATGTTTCCTCTCAGTTTACAAGTTCTTTGTTTCCGTTGCACCTTCGCCATCTTCCAAACTGCTCTTATCAAATGCACCTGCAAATAAAAAAAACTAATCATGACGGTTCCCTTTCGTATGTATTCTTTGCACGATTCATTTTAGCCGTCGATCAACATGCTTCTGTTGCTCGTTGCACTAAATGTTTTACCTAAATATCTGGCACAGATCTTTTCAAAGTCAAAACATATAACAAAACCTTTACATTTTGAGGAATCATTTATATATATATGCTAAAAATTCAGTAAAGTCATATTGTCTCACTTTCAGCTTAAATGTGATTCATATAATATTCGCATTGCATACCTATTGTTCCGACACAAGAAATAAGTTGTGGGAGGCAACCGCGACTGCCAGGACAACAGGCATGCCGAATAATGAGAGTAAGCGACGTCAACCGCCACCAGGGGAGGTGGGAGGGGCGAAACTTCTAAGTCACTTCCACTGAACCCCGTTGAACTAGCCAAAAGGCGGGCAAAAACTAAGCAATTCTAACCACGGGTCGCAATCCATCGTGCCGCGAGCGCGCAGGCCCAACACCACGGAATTTAAAAGAGTTCCTTAACTCCCGCGTCACCGGCCAATTATGTATGCAGTGAGAATATTTTACTTTATTTCAAATTCCTTGGATTCGTTTGCTGTTTTTATACTGATCAGATTATAGCTTCAAGCAGGAGATTAATATCAAGCCAACCATGCTATCCCTTGCCGCCCGAGCAGCCCGAGCAGCCTGTGCAATGGTTGCCCAGAATATCAGCCATCTCCTCTGGTACAAAATCGCGACTACGAAGAGAACTAAAGCAAAACGTATTGTAAAACCCAATCGAATCGAATGAAATACTTTCTTGGGGGCATATTAAATCTTTCGATTTCTCCGGGGAACAAACATCATAAACGAGGCGATTGATGACGAAAATGACCTCCTTTTAAGAACACACGAAATCGACAAGGGAGTTTCCCTTAGCTCATTTGCCAGAAAAATACCTGTATAAAATAGAAGTTGCAAAATCAAATGCCCCTGCACCTGCTTGAGCTAGATTAAGTGCCCAGGGAATCTTTCCGTCTGCTTTCAAACTCTCGCCCACCGGTAATTAGTTTGTATACCCTCTGCACTATCTCTGGTTCCCTGAGGATGAATCTTTTTAAGACTAAAAATACTGTGAAGTATATGAAATAATTCATTTTTGAACTGCGGTTGTAGATGAGAGTGAAGAATGATCATCGCAACGCGGAGGTCACGGGTTCGAATCCCGTTGAAGCCCTGATTTTTTTCAGGCTTCTTCTTTCCAATTGCTTAAATTGGAAAATTTACTGCGATGATCATTCTTCACTCTCACTAAAAATACTAGCAGCGTTTTTTAAAGCCTGTTCCAGGCTCTTGAATAGTAGGGATGAAGCGGTGAAAGGCGTGCGCAGCGACTCCGTCGCGGAGCCTGGAACAGACTACATTTTTTCTTTCATCAGGCACACCCTCAAGAAAAAGTGTGTTTAACACTTACTTCTCTTCTCTGTGATACCGTAAAATTCCGAAAATAAGCCCCTCCATGTATAAGCCCCTACAAAACTAAGCCCCCCAAACCGGTAACGTAAAAAGCCTCCGTTAAATCGGCCCTCCGCATATAAGCCCCCCCAGGGCTTGTACTTCGAAAATTGCCCTCAAAGTAAAACAAAGCAAAAACGGTAAATTTAGTTCCAACTATAAGGCTAGTCCAATCGATTTTGAAACGCAAATTTCCCTCCGTAAATAAGCCCCTCCGAATATCAGCCCCTCCAAAAATAAGCCCCTCAAAAAGGGCTTTTGAAAAATATAAGCCCCAGGGATTATTTTCGGAATTTTACGGTATATTAATAAATTATTTTCATATGCTCTTTGGAATCTCAACTATCGTTTTCTACATTTTCATTTTAGTAAGTTAGAGATTCGAGCATCCTTTACGAAATATTCCATAAAAATCGGAAAACAATTGAATTCGGCCTTCTCTCCAGATGCCTCACTTCCATCACCAGGGTTGGAAAAGACAATAAATAAAAAAAAAAACTACGAAAACTCAGTATAACTCCCTTCATAATATTTTTCAAAATGATGCGTAGTGTCACGAACATCAATTTCACAAATTTTGACTAAGATAACTAAAAAACCTAAAAATGATATCAAATACAAACCTTTGAATGACACATTATCTCCAATCAGCATAAAGGGTGCCCACTGCTTGACGTCAGAAAAGCGAGTCTCTCTCATCGACTTCATGGCCTGATGAAGAGATTCACTGGCACTTTCACCACGAGCAAGGTGCTCGTAAAAACGATTCATAAACCACATGGTAGCTTTGTCATCTACAGCCCACAGCGCCGCCAGCACGGCGCGTGCGCCCGATGCTAGAAATGCTCGAGCGATTCCAACAATTCCCTCAGCTCTAATCTGACCACTTGCACTATGACAGCAGCTAAGGACAACCAGCTTGGCTGTTAGTCGAACTTGTGAAATTTCAGCCATCGTTAATAAGTAGTCTTCTTCGTGTGGAGTTCCGCAGGAGCTTATAGGGGAAAGAGCTATTTCTCCACGTTCGTCATCACCATGAGCAGCAAAGTGAATAAGACTTACTGAATCCATGCTTTCCAGGACTGCCTGCTTAGTTGCATCCTTTCCAAGCAACGGTTGAACACCGAGCAGTCGCCCAATCATCTCTGCCTCCTTTCTCGCCCAAGGCAGCGAGTTTAACTGTAGTATGTGTCCTTGGTAGTATACATCACTAACCTCTGGCTCCCCTACGATCAGTGCACCGGTTTTACTATGGTAGTCTCCTGGACTGAGCTGAATCAACTTAAGAGTCGTCAACGAAGGGACAATACGAATCCTGAAAGTATCCGATAAATACTTTCCATTACCATCCTTTAAAGCAGCAAAAGGAATAGGAAACAACAAGTTATCCGGTATAATAATGATTTCTGATTCTTGGAGTAAGTCAGCTACAGGAGCGACTATCATGTTGTAACCACCAGCAAGGGTTAAAGGTTTAGAGTCGTGATTTTCGTCTTCCTCTTCTTCGATAAGACGCAAAGATTCGAAGCTGTCACTCTGAGATTGTTTGCATGATACTGGGGAAATTACACATGAAAATAATGATCGATCTTCGCATTGGTCTTGACGTAAATCAAGAGAGCCACCAAATGTGTGATTTCCAAACACTTTATCTGCACTTTCTTTGAGTCTCGTTTGTCGAAAAACTATAATTTTGTTCGGCTTGAGGATCCAAAAGTACATATTATCATCGAAGCAGGAAACATAAAGACAAGAACTAAGTGCATTTTTGTTCATGATGTTCTCAATGCCAATCCATGACTGTGGCTTGACTGATACCCCTTTTTCCACAGAGTAATTATCTGAAAGTACATCTGTCAGTGCTCTGGATCGTCCAAGCTCGGCAACGTAAAGAGCTTCATAATAACTGCCTGTAGCAATTAACAACCTACAAAGGAGAAGGTAAGGGGACACATGCTCATCAAAAAAAGAAATTTTGAATGGATCTTTCACTCTTAAAAAATCATGCATTTCTTCGCACTTCTGAATGCTTTCATGCAGATTTCGCAGAGCTTCAGTTATGCTTCCTCCTGCCACTAACTCATTCAGAGCAATGGCAAGGTGGCTATCAAACTGCATTTCAATGCTCCCTATTTCGTAACTCATCTCAAGTGCTTTAATAGTAAATTCTTGACTCTTTGCAGTAAGTTGAAATTTTCGACAAAGTTTTCCCAGATTTAAGTATGAAGCTCCAACACCAGCTTTGTCTCCGATTTCTTGATTGATCACTAGTGCTTTTTGAAGGTATTCTTCGGCCTTGGTATATTGATCAACAGAAAGAAACACAAATCCTAGATTTCCGTAAGCAGTTGCTTCTCCTTTTTTGTGACCGATTTCTTTAATGATCACTAATGCTTTTTGAAGGTATTCTTCAGCCTTGGTATATTGACCAACAGAAAGAAACACAGTTCCTAGATTTCCGTAATCTGCTGCTTCTCCTTCTTTGTCACCGATTTCTTTCCTGATCACTAGAGCTTTCTGAAGGTATTCTTCAGCCTTGGTATATTGACCAACAGCTTCAAACACACTTCCTAGATTTCCGTAAACAAATGCTTCTCCTGGTTTGTCACCGATTTCTTTCTTGATCACTAGTGCGTTTTGAAGGTATTCTTCAGCCTTGGTATATTGACCAACAGAAAGAAACACAGTTCCTAGATTTCCGTAACCAGATGCTTCTCCTGGTTTGTCACCGATTTCTTTCCTGATCACTAGTGCTTTTTGAAGGTATTCTTCAGCCTTGGTATATTGACCAACAGATGTAAACACAGTTCCTAGATTTCCGTAAGCAGATGCTTCTCCTTGTTTGTCATAGATTTCTTTCCTGATCACTAGTGCTTTTTGAAGGTATTCTTCAGCCTTGGTATATTGACCAACAGATTGAAACACAGTTCCTAGTTGTCCGTAACCAGATGCTTCTCCTTTTTTGTCACCGATTTCTTTGCTGATCACTAGTGCTTTTTGAAGGTATTCTTCAGCCTTGGTATATTGCCCAACAGATTGAAACACAGTTCCTAGACTTCCGTAGGCAGATGCTTCTCCTTTTTGGAAACCGATTTCTCTCATGATCACTAGTGCTTTTTGAAGGTATTCTTCAGCCTTGGTATATTGACCAACAGATTGAAACACATTTCCTAGATTTGCGCAAGCAGATGCTTCTCCTTCTTTGTGACCGATTTCTTTGCTGATCACTAGCGCTTTTTGAAGGTATTCTTCAGCCTTGGTATATTGACCAACAGAAAGAAACACAAATCCTAGATTTCCATAAGCAATTGCTTCTCCTTTTTTGTCACCGATTTCTTTCATGATCACTAGTGCTTTTTGAAGGTATTCTTCAGCCTTGGTATATTGACCAACAGACTGAAACACAGTTCCTAGATTTCCGTAAGCAGATGCTTCTCCTTCTTTGTCACCGATTTCTTTCCTGATCACTAGTGCTTTTTGAAGGTATTCTTCAGCCTTGGTATATTGACCAACGGATTGAAACACAGCTCCTAGATTCCCGTAACATGTTCCAACTCCGTCATTATTTCCAGTCTCAATCATGATGCTGAGTGCCTTCTCGTAAAACTGTTTTGCTTCCTCGTATTTGCTTGTTTGATAGTAGATGTTCGCTAGTTTAAGTAATGTCATCCCTTCTACTTCTTTTTGGCCACTATTGTGTAGTGTCACTAGAAGCTTTTTACCACATTCTGTGGCACGGGTGTGATCGTACACACGAGTATAGCCATCAAGAAGTTTATGGTAAAATTTGATAACAAGTGGTGTGGTAAGTTCTTTGATTGTCTCTAGAGCTTTACCGTTAAGGAGCACCAAACATTCGTTAAAGATGTCTACTGCTTTTATAATACGTCCAGTGTTGAAAAGAAAAGTTGCAACGACTGCACCAATAAGAATGGTCTGTTGAATCTCCGAGATGTTGTCCATGACGCTTTTTTCTTAACCTTGAGAAAAAAATATTTTAAGAGTAAGAAAGTGGAAACAAGATTGTTAACGTCTTTTTAACTAAACAGTTAAACTTCTTAGGCAAGATAATCAAGCTTTCATGTAGGATTTACTGAGGTAGGTCAGGATTATAAGTGTTGGACTATCATTTCATTGGCCTATTCTATACTTCTTGAATCTGCAAATGCAGAATATCTAAATAAATAGTTTTACAGAGTAAAACAGTAGTTTGTAACCTACTGTTTACCACCATACACCGTACTGTTCAAAATTCTGGAAAATAAAACTATTTCAGCCACAAGCTTTTACAAAAACAACGAGCTTTATTTGCATGACCATAAGTTCATATAGTATTGCAAAAGCTATTTTAAGAAATGTAACAGATGTAAAATTCTATGAGTCATATATATTTTAGGATCGCTCTTTGTTAAATTGTAAAGAAGAGGAATTTGTATTTAAAGGCTTTCTACTTTGTTCCATTTTTAGTTCTGACACATTCGTCTTCTCTAGGACTTAAAAAAATATTAAGGCGAAATGGTTTGGTATTTCATTGGTGTTTATAAAATGAATGGAACATTACATGGCCGCTTGGAGATACGAAATTTCTTTTCTTGTGTTGAAGAATTTTTCAACACTCGAGGAGAAATTTCATATCTCCGGGCGGCCATGTAATATCCTCTATATATTATTCATTCAAAGTATTGGCTCCAATCCCCCAGCTAATTCCTCATAAGCCGCTGGTGCTCACCATATTTGGAAGCTGCAAGCAATACACCATCAATTTACATTCCTAGACTTTCACTCAACTAAACAGGGACTGCCATTGGTTGATTCTTGGACCGGCATGGCCTTGACTAAAATCAAATGTCCCGATATATTTGAGCCGGATTGTACCCAGCTCGGGATTCATTACAGCACGTGATCAAAGCATGGTGGAAAGTGGCGTGACAGAAGGCGGGAAAAACGCTGCTAGTTTTCTTTTTCGTGAATGAACAGACTAATGAACAGAGACAATAGAAAACGTTTTCCGTGTTTGCATAGCCTGATATAAACGCGAGAGGGGTCGGGAGAATTCGAGACAGTCAGATGCAAACCGTCGACTTCGTCTCGGGTTTGCATAACTGTCGAGAATTCTCCCAACCCCTCGAGTGTTTACATCAGGATATGCAAACACAGGAAAAAAAGTTTTCTATTACTTTTATAAAATAACTTTCCCGAGAAAAAAGAAAAACTCTCTTGTCTAAAGCATTGATTAAAAGAGAAATTCTTACCAGTGGCAAAGTCTTGTACACGAAGCTTGCACGCGTAATCAGTCTTTGTTTTGCAAAAAAGATGCTTTCCAAAATACGGGTTTTTCTCGCTTAAAATGTCAGGTCAAGCGAAAAAAATTGACACAGCATGTTTCTAAAGATTTTTCAAGTTTCAGACGACGAGGAAATGGGTAAATAAAGTAAACTTGTCGAGTTTTTCAACTCAAAACCTTTTTCAAATTCGTGCTTGCGTGATTAGCGCGCGAAAAGCAAAACATCTTGACGGCACAACCATGTTTACATACTCTCATGCAAACACGCTTCTCGGCCAATCAAAGCGCGCGTAATATCTTAGTTATTTTATACAGTCAACAACACAAACATGAAGCCTCAAGCTAAAAGGCAACGATTTTCAAAGTCATCCCAGAAGAGAAACAGCAGCTAGCAGAGGAAAAAGATGCAGATAATATAAGGAACGTACTTTATAAATGATTCTTTCAGTGGTTTTTAGAATTAAATTTGTGTTCTTATAAGTACCGAGTCGACTGTTTTGGCTCGCTCTGGTTATTCTTTTGTTGCTGTTGAAGTGAAAGTCTAGAAATAAAGCAAACACTTAAAGCTACTTAATGCCAGGTCCCTCGGGAAACCTGTAAGTTTTGTTTTCCCTCGAGTCCTGATGTCTCCCGAGACGAACTGTTTCCTTCGGGATCTGACATTAAGTGTATAATACAAAATCGATCAAACTCCTTTCCAGACGCGGCAGCCTATCTCTTTATTCCTGAGTTATGTTAAGAAATGCAAGAATACGCAAAACGTATCTGTGGAGGGATCGGATGTTGTTTACTTTTGAGGAGTATCTTCAAGGAAAAACATATGTTATATCGTGAAACCATGCCGAGAAATAGGCCAAAGTTTTGATGAAAAAAAAGAAAAACACAAATTAGAAATATTTTGAATGACTAATAAAACAATTATTGAATTCGGCTTTCGTAAGATGAAAAGAATTATGCAGATCTTGGAGGATGTTATCCACCTCGGCCGATAACATCCTCCTCAATCCGCATTATTCTTCACATCCTACTCAGCCTCATTCAGTAATTGCTAAATAACAGTAACACTAACCATAAATGTAATAAAAGTTAACCATAAATGTAATATCCACCATAAATGTAATGAAAACCCGAACCATAAATGTAATAAATTATAAACCATAAATGTTCTAACATTTTAACCATAAATGTAGTAAGTAAAGAAAATCGTATGAATTCGCAGTACATTTCGTTATTTATGGCTCAAGTGATGTTTCAAAAGTTACTGAAACTATTGCACGAGCAATTTTATTGATGGTTAACTATATTTTTGTCCGGTTACACTTCCTCGCTTTTCCAAAGAAGCTTCGGTACTGCCTGGTACTGCATTGTATAGCCTCTGGTACTCTATAAGCTGTTAATGTTTCCCTTGTTGACCAATCAGAATATTCATTACTTCATCTTAAAGATTGCCAAAAGACTGACATCATGGAGGTAGCTCCCTAGGTCACCTGGGGTATTTAATGTTTGATATGCGTTCCGTTTTCCACAGAGCGAAAACTTTTTCAACTGTTGTAACCAAACAGGTTAGTTATCAAATTTTTATATGTATTTTCTGTCTACGGGTAACGAGCCCGAGTATGGGTATAAGGTTGTGAGGTACTGAGGGAAGACCATGTCACATCCATTCTAATACGAGTTCAACGTGTCTGCTGAACAAGACAAACAACTGTTATTTATTTCCGTTTTTAATTTATTTTTTCAAACACCTTGCCATCAGTTTTACAGGAAAGAACCTGTAATCTAGGCGGCAGGCCCCAAATTCGGGGACTTAAAAAGCTCAGCATAGGTGAAAACTCGCAATGCTGCAAATATGAAGAATTTACGAACAGCTGTTTGTTTAACTGTATCTCATGAGTTTATAAGTTTCTTCGGTCAGTGTCCTCTACTAGCAAGACGTTAATCAATAAACACCTTAACGCGATATTTCCTCTTTGCTAATAGTTCCACCGAGTCCAACTATGTCTTTCTGGTCTCAGACTACATCGGTCCGTTATGAAATCTCAATAAAAATACGCCCTCTCTTCAGGGGATAATACACAGCTGTACGTAGAAGTAAAAAAACTTATCCAGCAATTGACCCAATCCCCTTTAGCTTTTATTAACTGGGCTGCCTCAAGGCACGCCCTAGTTCATAAAATGGGTAGTTTTCTTTGTCGAAAAACGAATACTATCACTTATTAACCCACTAGCCCAGAGGGCGTTGCGTGATCCTTCAAAAAATAATTAACAATTCATAAGCCTATTGACCTATCAAATAGTCGATCATACATCACGTGCAGTGACTTTATATCGATAAAACCTCCCCTTCTTAGTATGCGGTGTTTTATCAGATATAAAGTCACTGCACGTGACTTATACTCATGAATATTAATTATCAGCACAGCAACTGACACAACAAATGGTGGGTGAATATTTAATGTTCTTTCAAAATAACACACGAAGTAAATTTACTATTGCACAAAATTTCACCAATTTTATCAGCCAAAAGGTCAGTGACTCAGAGGTAATATTGGGTATAGTCAAGAGAGGATAAAGGGGACAGAGAAGGCATCCCCCATACACACCCTATTCCATAGGTAATTCGTCTCGAGTTATTTTTAAGACCATAGCTCCCAAGGGGGGTTAGACAACAGCCAATCACATAGCGCTAATGTGTTCCTCGTGGATGACCCACGCGTCCTTCACGAATTGACGCAGAAAAAAATGGCAGAAGACGCGGAGAGCGATATTGCTATTTGTTTTGTCGACGAAAACGACTAAAGAGAGATTTCTGCTAAAGCTGTGTCAGCGAAACGGAAATTAAAAAAGAATCGCCCTTCCTCTCTTGTATAGAGCTAACAGTACAGCAGGGAAATCCTTAACACACTGAATATTCTCTCAGGATCATTTATAATTTACAGTTTGAAGAGAGCAATTTCTGGTTTGATATCTATTCTTTTATTATTCAACAAAAATAACACTTGGCGTCCTGCTTGCTTTATTATACAAACGACCGGTTTCAATAGACCGGCGAAATTTCTCATTTTATTAAAGCACAGACGTTACGACAACTTCGAGTTAAACTGATTTCACGGGTTGTCAAAGAGTCTAGCGATTCCCTTTTCCCAGGTTAGCGCCGACTCATTTCGCTTCAATATTCAGAAAAGCTCTCGATCTCTTTACGCTTTCATTGCCTTTCGCCCGACATGTTTTGCACGGCGTTTAGTCATGCGGAACCTCCACGAAACATCCACGTAGCGCGCGAGGTAACTTTATCCCGATTCTAAAAATAACTCGAGATGAATTACCTATGGAACAGGGTGTGTATGGGGATGCCTTCTCTGTCCCCTTTATCCTCTCTTGGTATAGTAGTGTCCAAGCGTTGCACTTAAGGTGGCTCGATTGGATTTTTTTTTAGGGGATACCTCCGAAGTTTGAGCATTAAATACGTCGGCATGAGTAAAGATATGGGAAAAAGGTTACCACAACTGTATTATATAAAGATAAAAATTCTGGGTTTTATTACAATCGGAGTCGCCATGGCAACGTAATGACGCCATTACGTTTTTTTACTTATCTATGTGTTTCTCTGGGAGTATGTACCTACCATAATTCCCTCAATTATTGCAAAGTTTGAACACATTCTATGGGAGCGTTTTGG